CTACTTCTCCAATGTACAGAACCATCACTTCCCTGGCTCTCATTACTCTCGCCTCGGCGGCATCTGATCTGTGTATGCAGATGTGTACCGACCTCGGCAGTCAGACTGCATGTGCTGGATCCGGCAAGGGCTCTTACTGCAAGCACTGGCAACATGAGCCAGTCTGCCAAGGCTTCATTCGCAGGAAGGACAACAGCTTGTGCTTCCGCACTGGTGGTCCTGATGATGTTAAGTGTGTGGGTAGTCCCGTCCCCTGTCCCGAATCGCCCTCTACAAGAAGCCCCGGGTCATCCTCAACGACTGAACTGGCCGTGACTACACCGAGCATCACTACTACTATTACTAGCACCAGAACTACCACTACCCGACGTCCGACTTGGGAAGGTAAATTCTGTGGCACCGCTCTCGGACAATCACTACAAGTTTCGCTCGAGTCTGGGCGCCTTACTCTGAGTCTACCAGCACTTCATATTAAGGGCCTCTGTGATTACCACGTGAATGGCAATGGAGTTATCCTATCCAATTTTGATAAAGTCCTGGCAGGGTTGATGAAGACCGCTGGTATCAAAGAGTTCCATGTGACGATGGAGGGCCCCAATCAGATGCACCTCAAGGCAGGGGTGCTCCTCGATGTTACTCTAAAGAGGTGTTGAAGACTATATTCATTTCGGAGAGTTTTTGATGAAGAGATGTCTTCCTTTTTTCCGGTTCGAAACCACTTTTTCGTAGTGTGGCAATACTAAGGGCCACCGAAGCATCTGGGTTTCTCCTACATAGGCGTTTTGGAGTCTTTGTGTTGTAGTTGACAGTTGAAATCGCTCGTGGTGAAGAAAGCACTCGTGCATGTTTCATCGTCGCTCAGCGGGAAACTCGATACATCCCAGAGATCTCAATGAATCCGAGAGACTCCAACTGTGGCTCCAAACTCACTCACAGAGAGAAACACGGTATAGTCTGGTCACTACTCAGAACTGTTTATCCCCATCCAATTTGACCCTAGCAGTACGATCCGTATCCTTATCACGAAAGAGTAGATAGAATTACTCGAAAGCAGGGGTGAATGAACCGATCGTGGTGACTACATGACGGGATAACACAGTCGTAAAGGCTTCACTGACTCGAGAGAGTCCATTTTAGGCGTATTTACGAGAGAGCTCGTTCCACGTGTCGGGGACTATCTAACAGACACGATTCAGCTCGGTACGAGTTCATGGTGATGATTCCCTGCTCAGTGTAATCGCTCGTGGCCTCCAGTGTCAAATGCGAGAGCAGTAACTGCTGTATTGTGAGCTTTTCTTTCTTTTGGCTTTTGTACATAGAGAACACAATCAAGCTTCGGAGCGTTGAAACCGAATAGCGAGAGCATGAGCAGCATGGACCAACAAAAATCACTATCATAATACTGCTGGTGGGGTGAAGGGCACCTCTACGCTTGGTGGACCCCAGTCTGAGATGCCTGTTGAGTTCGCA